GACATTTTCTTCTTTCGATTTAAATGTGTAGAAATCTAGAATATAGGCTTTGTTATGTGTTGTGCACTTATAACAGAAGTTGCGCTGAGGAAGCTCTAAGAATGTTAAACGGAACCCAGTTGGGAGGACAAAGCATTCGACTTTCATGGGGCCGTAGTCCTTCCAATAGACAGGTTGATATATTTTGACATCACCTAACTTTTAACTGGTGTTTCTGATTTTAGGCTCTAGACATGTCTTTCCATGATGCAGAGAGATATACCATGTTAATGTTTTGTAATGATTCAGCCTCAGGCTGATCAAAACCAGTGGAATGGTGCTAGTGGATATTATGGATATGCTCCTGGATATGAAACGTACGGATACGCTCCACCAGCGCAGGATCCAAATTTATACTATGCAGGCTACCCTGGATATGGAAATTACGCACCACCACAACAGCAGCCTCAGGTAATATTGCTAACAAAAATGCCTGAAGATTTTTTGGTAGACTGTGTCCATATTTTTTAGTACTCTCCTAGGCCCTTCCCATATTAACCGTTGATGCAAATTCAGTTGTGTTTTCTTATTATTCATCTCTTACATGCGCCCAAAATGTTGATTATGTATGCATCTCATCTGCTGTGCAGTGATCGGCCAGCATCAAATGGCAATACCAAGCTTCTGAAGGTGGCAGCGAATATCATGCGAACTCTTTATTTATTCTAGCATAACACTAGCCGTTGGTTCTTTTAAACCTATGTTTGGCAGGATTTCAGATGTAGTTTTCAGTTTTAACTGATCTTTTCTTCATACCCCCATCCCACTAGAAAAAAAAAGGGAAAAAGAAATGGTTAGTTTAGCTTTGGCGTTGTTTTTTCCTCAGTTCTTGTTTACTTTGCCCTTGCCATATGGGCCCCCATTTCCTTCTTGTATTGGTATTTGATGGCGTAGGCCACATGTTCAGACGTGTTTATTTGGTTGGTCAACTATAGAGCTATTTCGTTGAACCAGTGAAAGTGAATTTTGTTCCATAGTGTCGCTTTTTATCTTGAGGAAATTACACCCTAGTCCTAGGTTTAGATTTTCATTATCACAAATCGGATCTCTAATTTAACATTTCTAAAA